TGTCTGTATTTTGGTTACAAAAGGTCACAGAGCTCTTGATTTGGGATTTTAAAGCTCTGGTTTTGGTTGTTGTGGCATTGAACTGCATTATATCGCAAGGTGTGTCTAATGTTTTGCACAATATGGAGGTTAAGAGTATATTCTGTGCAAATTTTGCAAACATTGTATGCAAATGCAGACAAAAGTCAACCCTGACATTTTCTGGATGAAATACACATTAATTATAGGCAGAGAAACAGACACAGATACTGTGGATGGATATATGTAGGGATCTACAGTGATAGATTGAATTACAGGTAAGCAAATGAAGCAATATTTTTCAAAGGGCATGTCTGACACAAGCAGGAAATGATTAAAACATTTCTGTGTGACGCACAGTCCTGGCAGTGTGAAGGAGGTCAGTCCTGGCCTCTTAGTCATTTCTCTATCATCAGGATCTTTCCTGTTCAACTCTGAGTTGCATAAACATATCTTTTTTTAGGACACAGAGTCGCCTCTGAGCTGAGTGAGATTTGGGCCAACCATGGCTCACAATGACCGCAGCTTGAAACCCTCCCAGCCAACACAGACCAGGTGTTCAACCACTGAACCTAATGTTTAAACTTTGATCGGAGTTTAAATTACAGCTGTGTCCCCAGCTGTAACTCTAATCAGATTTGCTTATTGTGATCAAGTGGTGGATCCAAAACACAAAGAGTGGAAGGGAAGGACGGGGAGTGGTGGTGGTGGTGGTGGGGGGTTGTGTCCTCTTCAGCATCAGATACAGCAGCCAGGTGACACACACTGTGTACAAAACCCCTGCTGCTCCAGCACAGTGGAGGCACATGTTTATCGATGTGTCTGGCTGCCCCTGAGCGCACAACATGGCTGAGAGAAACAAGCACCAACATACAGACGGTTCTCACAGGAGACAACAGATGAATAAATACACAAACATGGACTGTTGGACAGAGTTGTTTTCATATGTAGAAGCTAGAAACACTGAAAACACATGCAAAATATCACCGTCGTTATCCATGACAGGCTGCTAGTGTTGTTGGTGTTAAAACAACTGAACAATTCTTCACAACTCAATGGGAGAGATTGTTGCCTTCTACTTTTGTAATTTTGATCTCTCTTGGATGATCTGTGTCTGTCAGGAGCCAGCACAAGAGGAGAGAAAGTCAGCATTTAACAATTTAACAATTCTTTTATCTACAGTGTCATGTAACTATAGTAACTAGTCATGTGTAGAGCAACCAGAAGAGCTCATTTCATGACTGAATAAAATAGACAAACGATAGGTGAGATAGATTTTCCGGTGGGAACATTTTGTATGATGTGTCCTTGCATTCTTACAGTACTGCAGACTGAGCACAGAAAGCTGTCCGTGACTGTAACATGTGATAACACCAGGTTCTCCATCTGGATGTTTTATCACAGAATGGAGGAAATACTTTCAAATGACATTTTCACTTCCAATACATTACATTTACACTTCCACTTCCGAAGGATTAGATTCTGACTGTACTGGCATATCATTTTTATTGCATTTAGAGAGAGTGATGGCTCGGACAGGTTTGAGAGAAACCTGGGTGTCATGTTTGATGACCAGCTATCCTTCTCGCTATCGCTCTCCTGGTTGTGCCACTTTGCATTGTTAAACATGAAATAAATCAGGCCTTACCTGACTCAGTACCCCACCCAGCTCTTGGCCCAGGCCATGGTTGTCTCCCTCTTCGACTACAATGCAATGCCCTTCTGGCGTGCTTCCTTTCACACACAGTGGAACCCTTACAGATGGTCCAGAATGCAGCAGCCCATCTGGTCTTCCATCAGCCCAAAAGGGCACGTCACTCCGCTACTCATCGACCTCCACTGGCTACCCGAATCAAATTCAAGTCACTAATGCTTGCCTTCAGAGTGACTTCTAGGTCTGCACCAATCTACTTGAACTCAGTCATACAGGCTTATGTTCGTTCTCAGCCACAGCGTTCCTCTAAAGAACATCGTCTGGCATTGCAATCCCTGCACACAAGGCATTCGCAGTCCAGACTGTTCTCGTCTGTGATTCCCAGATGTCCGAACAAGCTACCGAATGCTAGCAGAACAGGGGTGTCCCTCTCCAAGTTCAAGAATCTTTTGAAAACTCAGGTTTCAAGGGTATCTGGACAAAAAGGGGTAGGTGAAAAATGTTTAATGACAAAAACAGAAACTTATAAAACCAGGAATCCAAAATACAGGCAGGAACAAAAAAAACACAACTCAAGAAACAACGGCGCACGATAAAGAGGAACCATGCCTGCCAACAGGAGAAACCATGATCCACATGATGACGACGAACACAGAGACTAAATAGACACAATGGTAATCGAACACAGGTGAAACTCATTAGGGCGGGCAGACAATTAACGAGCAGAGAAACACAAGACAAAGACAGGAAGTAAGGTGACATGAGACACACAAGGTAAGTGGTACAAAATAAAACGGGAAATAAATCAAATCCGAAACAATCAACATAAAGTGTCCAAAAGAGTCCAACAAAGTCCAAAAGTGACTTGAAAACAAAAAGTGTCCTCTTAGGCCAAACCATGGCACTCTCCTAACACCTCTAACACCCTGACATGCCTAACTAGCAGTGCAATCGGTGCACTTCTTTACCTGATCTCCTTGCACCTATTGAATAGACGTATGACTTACTTACACCAAGGTGTCCCACTTATAAGTCACTTTGGATGAAGGCGTCTGCCGAATGAGAAAATGTAAATGTCACTGTGAGTGAATCTTTCCTTTATGGCACACAGACAAACTTTTAGCTCAATCACTCTGATGAAACCACAGTCCAAGTGATTTGTGTGACCTTGTTGCTTACCCTTTATTACCTGAAATCCTATAATGTTCCTCGGCTTAGGGGCCTTTTCAGACATCAGAGCTCCAAATATACATTCACCAAGCACTTTATTGGGGACACCATAATAATAAAAAACAGTTTCAGTTCTTTGCAGCATGGATTCCATACGATGTTGGAAATATTCTTTTGAGATTCTGGTTCATGTTGACATGACTGCATCACATCATTTCTGCATATGTGTCAGCTGCACATTCATGCTGCCATTCTCCTGTTGTACCACATGTTCTCTTTGATTCAGACCTGGTGACTGAGGAGGCCACTGGAGTTCACTAATGTCAGTGTCATGTTCATGAAACCAGTTTGAGACAACTTTAGCTTTATGACATGGAGCATTATCCTGCTGGAAGTAGCCATTAGAAGAAGGTAAACTGTGGCCATAAAGGGAAATACATGGTCAGCAACAAAACTTAGAAAGGCTGTGGCATTCAAACTATGATTGAATGGTATTAAGGGACCCACTGTGCACCAAGAAAACATTCCCCACACCATCACACCACCACCACCACCAGTCTGGACTGTTGACACAAGGCAGGTTGGGTCCATGGATTCATGCCATCCCACCCACCTCAGGGATTGACATGTTGTGCGTTCTGAGATGCTGAGTGGTTATCTGAGTTACTGTAGCCTTTCTGTCAGCTCAAATCAGTCTGGCAATTCTCATCTGACCTCTCTCATCAACAAGGCGCTTCAAATCCGCAGAACCGCCGCTCACTGGATGTTTTTTGTTCCTGGCCCCATTCTGAGTAAACTGTTGTGTGTGAAAATCCCAGGAGATCAGCAGTTTCAGAAATACTCCAGCCAGCCCATCTGGCACCAACAATCACATCACAGCCAAAGTCACTGAGATCACATTTTTCTCCATTTCTGTGCTTGATATTAACATTATCTGAGGCTCCTGACCTGTATCTGCATGATTTTATGCACTGCACTGCACATGGTTGGCAATTCATGCAATTAATTGGAGAAGTGCATGAATAAGCAGCTGTATGGGTGTTCCTAATAAAGTGCTTGGTGAGTGTCTATCGTAATGTATTAAACTGTACATTACTCTGAGCAGGAAAAGACTTTACATCTCTTTGCTTCCATCTCATATCCAGGGCTAAACACTGTGATGTGTCCTCTTGGATTTTTAGAGTTTTAGCAACCAGGGTTTTTTTTCCACAGTTTAATAAGACTTAAGAGTCTACAGTCATAAACTACAGGCACTGTGAGACTGAGGATGTGTCATTAAAGTCATTAAAGATTCATCATCTGAGAACCGTGAATGTCTGTCTTTCACAGATAAAGTGAAAGCTTTCACCTGCTGGTGGCACTACAGGAAAGGTTGCAAACCCAATAGGAATCATCATCTGAAAACTATGAATTTATGCAAACTTTCATGCAAACCCATCCAAGAATTGTAGGTATTTCAGTCTGGATGATGAGTTGGACCGACTGAGGCATTGCATAGAAAGGCTAAATATTACACATGATGGGAATTTAACAACAAAGTAAACAAATACACCCAGATAAAAGATTCACTGCTTCCCTTTCATAATTCTATTGCTGGTGGTGGAAAAAGCATTTGGACCTTGATTGAGGATTTTGATCACAGGAAATAGAACTAATCAATTGAAGACAAAAAAATATGGAAAAGTCAAACAAATAAATCTTGGAGCATTTCTCTTTGGTCAGAATTTTCTGGAGGGGGAGAGGGGGTTGCATTATGACTTCAGCATTCCCTAAAATTACAGCTAGGCCCTGCTTATATCATATTTATATCCACTACAGCTCTTAACTTTTGGTCAGTGTGGTGCCACAGGTTGTTCTTTGCAGGTGTTCTGGATACACATTTCTCATCCTGGGAGAGAGAAGGGAGACAGGCAGACAGACAAAGAAGACCGTGTTTTGTCTCAGTAAGCGCGTATAAGCCAGGACTGGTGATTTGGGGAGGCAGGCTATGTTGCACTTGGCGCTTTTGTCCCTGCGCACTGGACGCCCCCCTCCTCACCGCCCCGCTGTGTTTTGGTGCTCAGCGCTCACACCTGAAGTGACAGAGGAGGAGTGAATCTCGGAGCTGTGATGAAGACAGCGCACAGAGCTGCACAGACTGCTTCTCCTGCAAAGCGATTGCACGGCACATTCGGAGGAACAAGTCAGAAGGGAAATATCCAACGGGAGGGAGGGGATGCGCGCATGTGACAGGCTTTGGACGTTTCCATTTGTACCCGTCGGGCTGGGATTTGAATCTCTCTATCGAGGACAGCTGCGTTTTTAAAAAATCACCCGTGACTGGCATTGTCAAACATTGCACGCCTTGTCCGTAGCCTGCGGATCGTCACAGCACCATGCGAGCAGGAGAGACGCGCCCTGTGCCATGCTGAACAACTCTCCGACTGTGCTGCTGGCGCTGACCGCGGTGGCCGGACTTCTCCAGCGATGTCAAGGCTGGAGCGACGAAGACCTCCTCCTGCCGCCCATCAACTCCTCCAACAGGTTCCTGGCCAACCTGGAGGTGGACGTGCGCTTCTCCAAGAGGTCTGTGGAGGAGAGCGAAGCCTCGCCCGACGCCTCCACCCTGCAGACTCTGTCCCAGTGCAACGTGAGCGTCCAGAGACTCCTTCCCACCTCGCTGGTGGCTCGCTGGGACAGCAGCTTCGGATTCCAGTGTGATGTGCTCATCTACACCACCAACAACCACGGAAGGGCTTTTTTCTCTGCGTCTTTCAACAGGGCGATCTCCCCCGTCGTCATCGAGCACCTCGGGGTCACCGGGGGTCAGCAGGAGTTGCGGCTGTGCGTGGGATGCGGGATGTCTCGCTACCGGAGGTTTGGTCAGGGCAGGTCGAGAGGCCAGCAGACCGGGGATCAGGTCACTTTCTGCTGCGTGGATTTCAGCCTCGACGAGCTGAAGGGGGACAAAAGTTGGAGGCTGAACAGAAAGCCCATCGAGTCCACACTTGTGGCTTGTTTCATGACTTTGGTCATCATTGTGTGGAGTGTTGCTGCTCTCATATGGCCAGTCCCCATCATTGCAGGATTTCTGCCTAATGGGATGGAGCAGAGGAGACCGAGATAATTGAAATAATCTTTATATTAATTAGCCTGTGCTGCCTATACTATAATTGTAGCCATTCAACTGTTCACATGAAGGAATGATGGCGAGGAATGGAGAACTTTTTGATGAAATGGTTTAGTTTGGGGTGTTCTTTGACCCTTAATAGACCTCCTCCTCATTAGGACAACCAAGGTAATGTATGAAGACTTATACTAGCCAATAGTATTCTATACTGGGACCAACACCAATGTGTTTTGTATACCCTTGTAGGCCTTCCTATAGATTATGTCAGCGTAAACTGTGCAAACTTTTCTCTTTGAGCTGTGTTTGTATAGTTTTTAATCTTTCTAGAAAGTCTTTGCCTTATCCCATGTGTAGGACTTTTGCACTGAAAACTGAACTTTAAGGTGTGCCGTCACATACAGTACTATATAGTGAACCTATAGTCATGTTCAGAGTAAGTGTAATAGTTTTTTTTCCAATACATTCTGAAAAATGGGTGTTGTTTATGATTGACATAGAGAGAGTTTCAATATTTATATTGTTAGGTTTCTAATGTCAAGTTCATTCGTGCTTATTTGTATTAATGTTTAAATGAAAATAAAATTGATTATAGGCTATATCTCAGATTCTCTCTGACCTGTTCTCTGTAGCCTAAATCAATTTACTTCACATGCAGTTTGCAGTGTATGCGGTGTAAATATTTTTTGGCAAATGCTTGGAGTCTTTAGAAAATGATTTTTACTGATTTTTGATAAGATGCACCTTTAACTTATGACCACAGGGCTCCTCTGCATACATCATTCTTTATGCTCAGTTTTATATTTTGAACATCTCATGTGTGACCATTCTGCCTGAAAATAAAAAATATTTTTTATGATGTTTATATATATATCATATTGTTTATAATGTCAGAACATTGAATAAATCCATAGCTTTATGATCAAATAATACTACTATTACTACTACTACTACTACCACCACTAATAATAATAATAATGATAATAATAATTAAATAATTGCATAAATTCACAAACTACCTCAGTTTTTTTTAGGTGAGTGTGTGGAATTATTATCAGTAAAATATGCTTTAATATCTGTAGATATCCTCTTTCAGAGTGTTAATTTATTGATGCATGACGAGCAGCATTTTAATGTTGATGCTGATCCAATTGGTTCGTAGTACTTTATATATTGTTGTTTGAGCTAGGCCACCCCACCCCACCCCCCACCCCTTTTTAATGGCCACTGGAAACAAAGGATTTGGATAATTACTCCTCATCTGTTACAAATGGTTGTTTTAGTACTGTAATGTCAACGTTTCCTGACACAACAATTGCTTTTCCCTCCAAAAATTAAAAGAAAGTGTTGTTTCTCTACTGGAAATCTATTCGGCTTCATGTGTATTATATATTATACAATAATATTGACCTCATCTGCTATCTTTCATGTTAGTAGGCTTATATAGTATGTCGACCTTAACACTGAACTAAAAAATTCATTGTATTTTAACTTAAAAACGACTTAAGTCAATCATTATTTTTGCAGAAATGATTACCGTATTGATTATGGCTGGGTTTTTTTTTTTTTTTTTTACACGGATGTTATTAGACATTAATGAACTCTGTACCTGTCAAAATGGCCGTCCTGGCCACGCCTTTGCCTTACCTGACATTTTAACACTCCCTTGCTGCTGACACACTCACGCATGAGGAAGTGGAGGAGCTGAGTCTCAACAAGTAGATACGACCTGAGCTTCACGTAAACGAGAAAAAAAGAAGGTCCCAGCTCTGGATAAGAGGCAATGACATGTGCGCTGATTTCCCCCAGGATCAGAGTTATAGAGATACACTATAGGACAGCATGTCCTCTTCAACGGCCCGAGTCTGTCTACTGACTTTGTTTCTGACATGCATCGTCTGCACTGTAGGCCAATCAGGTAAGTTCAAACTTCATTATGAACCAGCAGGACAGATTTACTGTGAAATGTGGAGGATCTGATCTTTAGATAATGTTGTATTGTTCAAATGTTGATGATTCCTCAAATTAAAGGACAATATTCAGGAACAGGAAGCAACACGACGGCCTCATCGTCGCCGGTTATTTATTTCTGTTATTTATTTCTGTAATCTGTTATTATCGTGTCGTTTACCGCCGATATGGCTGTTGATGAATTGTGAGTGTATCTGAGTAAATCAAGTTGTAAGACAGGACGAGGATAAGGACAGCGCCCTGTAGTCTCAGTGTGGAGTTTTTACTGTTGTTCATGACTGGACTGAGCGCTTTTAATGTTGTTTGTCCAAGCAAATCCTCCCCATCCAGAGACATGGCAGAGCTAATCTGATGTGTCATGTGTCAGATGATACATCAAACAGATATGTCTGTTTATTCCACTTGCAGAGCATAAAGATAGAGAGAGAAAGAGCACAGTAAAGCAGGATATGTGAGACACTACAGAATTGACTCAAGCAGCACATTAGGTGTTGTGGTGTGTGGACATGGTACTGTTTGCTCAGCACAGGCCTGGTTAGTCATAGAGGGAGCGAAGCCTGTTACTCATATTGACTTTGTTAACAGAGAATAAAAGCACACATCTAACACTTTGTAAGATTTCTCATATTCTGATTCTCAGTTACAAAATCCCTCATTCCCAAGAATGAGGGATTTTGTTGACTGGATATGTTTTCATTACTTTTCTCTAAATTAAATTGTCATTCTTTGTCTTTTGTCCAGTGATCAATAAGGTGACCATCACCCCTGAAAGGGGCACCACCGTCAACATCAGCAGTACTGTGGGCAAAAGTTGTGAAGTGTGCAGGAGGGAAGGGCGCTCAAACCGTTGTTCTACATCTCTTGTGTTCAAAGACAACGCTCCTGTCTCAGTGGAGTTCAGATGCGCCAGAAATGTACTCACAGTGGAAATTAGCCGCAATATAGGTAAGAGTACTGCAGTCTTTCTAAGTGAAAATAAAAGGTATTATTTGAAAGGTGGTCTTATAAAGTAATCAGACTATCTTGATACAGTATTGGTGGATTTATTTGTTGTAAAATTCTCATGAATTTCTTTCCTCAGAATGTAACACAAAGTCGTGCAGTGGGCACATCATCCAGGCTGACTCCGGTTCCCTTCCTTTGCTGGATTTTAACCGCAAGTTCACCTGGAATCTGAACGCCTCGGCACCGAAGGCATTCAAAATAGACTTCACCAAGACGGGTCTGAGACAGATTCCTCCATCTGAGAGATGTCCAGACGGACACAGCTACACCCTCCAGGCCTTACAGACGACAGGGAAGGTGGCCGTAGGGAAATACTGCACAGCAGGCACTATCAGCAGCGCTCAGATACTGAATCTGGGCAGCTTCTCTCTGGAGGTCCCAGCGGGGCAGAAGCTACAAAATGGCCAGTTTGATGTGTCTGTCGGGGAGGAAATCAAGTGTGAGTTGGTTTAAATTTTCATATCTGAACTTCTTGCTTGTGTGTCTTTCAAAGTCACTTTGTTTGACAGTTTCATTTACTCTTTTCCTCCTAGCCCTTGCCAAAATTACAGTGACATTACCAAAAGGGACCTCGTCCTCAGAGCTGCTCTCTCCAAACTACCCGGACAGTTTTCCTGATGACGATGTGATGGAGTGGTACTTTCAGGTCCCGAAAAAACACAAGACAGACATTCAGTTCATGAACCTCACACAGCCCAGTTGTCGGAAGAAGGAGACAGCAGTGGAGTACCACAGCAAAGGGAGAGCGGCATTGGTGCTGAGTCTGACGGAGGTGCAACCGCATCCGAATTGGGGGAACTTCTCTATGACGCTGAGGAACTGCGAGATGGACAGAGGGCGAGCTGGTTCTCCTGGACTCTCCCTAAGCGTCAAGGTGTCTACTTCAAATACAAGTTCACCAGGTTTGTACCTCATTTTGTCAGTGTCGAACGTTGTGCATTCGGTTTGTAAATTTAAAATATCTAAAATATTTGTGAAATAAGGTGGAGGTGAAGATAGACCTTGTGCCAGAGAGATGTCTTGATTTTGGGTTGATCTGGATGTCGACGACCGTTATTTTAATCCATACTGTAACTATGACACTAACTGAGATGTAGGCTTATTTCTAAGTCTGATTTAAAGGCTCAAAGGCTGATTCAGCTGAAATTTAAAGCTATTATAATCAATATTTTTATTAACAATGGATCAAATGACTATGTGCAATCTCAAAGTTGTTCTTTAGGAATTTGTTTCTTTTAGCTCAGTTTTGTTTTCACAGCTTGTTTTAATTATTGCTGCTTTAAAATATTGCTACAAATAAGTACTTGTTATTAACTACATTTCAATCTCCAAAACAGCTCAGTCTGTCAGAAATAATGACAAGTTGGTAGTGCCCAGTGTTTTATATTAAAATGTATTAGTCTGATCAATGGCAAATTATTTATTTTATAAAGATTTGAAATAAAGCAAATCTTAGAGTCTTTAAAGCTGCAAATGTCAGAATCACAACTGTCAATTTTGCGTCGATCAGCTGTTTGAGTTATCATTTTATAAATGAAAGCAGTTTTGTCTTTGGGTGTCTTCGAGCAACTCGGAAAATTGTTCAGTGTAGGTGGAGGTTTTGCTGTTAAGAAACTAGTGTGGAAGATGAATGATCCCTCCCCTGCGTGTTGCAGCAGGCAAGTGTATAAATTTTTTTTTTTTTTTTCACCGTTTTCCTATCATGTTGCAACACAGCTGCTGTTTCAGTAGTCAGGGGTGTAACAGAATTTTCCTCGTTTTTTAAGACAGTGAGTAACAGTAACATGGAGAGTGGGCCTCATGATCTTTATCTGAGTCCTCGGGTCTCATTTGTGGGGAGCTCTGAGATTGCTTCATTGCTGAGTCATGAATGAAAGCAGTGGTACAGTACCAGTGATTGGGGAATCACACTCAGCTCTATCAGTCAAATCACAATTCAAACTCATGTGTGACGCAGTTGTGATGAATGATGAAGGTTTGCTTGTGTCTGAGACAGGAAGAGAGACCGTATAAATGCTCGTGTTGTACTCTACTGTTTTCCCCAGTGTTGTGTAAAGTGGACCTGCGCAAAGCGGAGGGCCTCTCCCTTTACATTGAGAAGTTGAGACCGGCCTCTGACTGCGAGATGAAAATAAACTCTGTGACGAAGGAGAAGATCACAGTCACATCAAACAGTGACCTGTCTTTCCAGGACTGCCTTCCTGAAGATGTACGAGTCACCGCCATGAGAGTCATAGGTAAATCCAGATTTGAGTGTTTAACGGGGGACTGCCTGGACCTGGAAAATAAGCCTTGAATACTTTTTTATAACTCTCCATATTGGGATCAATATTTAAAAGTCACATTGAAATGTGTTTTTTTTTATTATCAATGCTGTTACTTCTTGGAAAAAGGCATATTTTTAATTTAAGCACCACAGACTTATTCCAGGTGTTATTTAGTGACTGACAGTATTTGAATATATTTGAACTCTTATTTACACCAAGCAGTTATTACTCAAAGGGAACAGTTTTTTCTTTTTGGGAGAAATTCTGCCTCATTTCTGAACTCCTCTTCATGTAAATGTTCTGTACTTTCATGTCAGAGTGTAAGCAACTCAAAGACTGCCCGAAGACTCCAGTCCGTCTCTCGCTGCCTGCGCTGCCGAGCTGCCTCCCCGCCCCTCTGAGCAGTGTGACCTGGATTCTCCGTCCTCCTCAGCACGGCACCGTGGAGCTGACCTCTCCCACTGGGCCCCTCAAGCAGTCCCTACCCGGACAGCCATGCAATGACAGCGTTCTTGTCAAACTGGCCGAAGACGATGGCATTGCTATTGGAAACTTCTGCCCTCAAGGAGCCATAAAGAAGATCCAAATCCACACCAACATGTCCGTCACTGTGTCCAGCATGGGGGGTAAAGCACTGAGTATGTGTTACAAGAACGTGCTGGATGCCTGCTTTAAAGAGGAGATATCAGGTAATAAGCCGCGTCATTTGAATGAAATCAATGAATGTTTTTCAGAGATATTCAATATTCATCTCTCTCTAACTCATATTCAGAAAGATACATATTCACTGTATCGTCAAAGAAAGACACGCCTGTCCTTCTGGCCACTCCTGGTTGGCCCGCGGGAATGAAGTCTTACTCCACCGTGTCCTGGATCGTCTCCGTGCCCCCGAAGATGAAGGCGCACCTGATGTTTGCCAACCTCAGCCAGCCCAAGTGCAGCAACCGTCACACCAACATCAGGGTGCAGAGAGTCAACCGCCTGGAGGAGGACTACAGCCGCAGGGAGGATGAGGAGACTGAGAGCGAGATCGTCGTCTCTGAGGGATTCTACCTCAACATGTCCAACTGTATGCCTGAGAGAGGACACTTCAGCGTCATCACCAAGCTCACCCTGCGGGAGAGCAAGAGTAAGAGGAGATTTTGAAGGGTTACTTGTTGTACATTGTAGTTTTTTGTAAATTGTAAGACTTAATTTATTTTTCATTTAGACTGAACAGTAATTTTCTCATCTATAAAACATGGAGCTACTATTTTCATTCACTGTATAGTGAATAAATTTACACATTCAGAATTCAGACACTCAAATAAAATGTAGTGCACAACATACTAAATATACTAAGGATTGTACAGTTAAATGAGTGTATGGCAGAAAGATCATATCTGTTGTTGTTTTCTCATATTCAGACCCTCTGCTGACCATCGTGCTGAGTGTGGTGGCTGCCCTGTTGGTCACTTCTGTCATTGTGCTGGCAGTGGTCTGTCCAATGATTAAGTGAGTGCATTCTTCTTTTATACTTTTTTATTATTTATACATGATAAGTGTGATTTTTTTTTTTTTTGTCTTAACTTAACTCGTGAAAAGATACGACTTTAGTAAAGACAATTAAGATCACAGAGTATATGACTCTAAAACTCTCATCCTCTCGTCTCTCCTGCCAAACAGTAAGAAGAAGAAGAAGCTGAATCATCAGGTGTCCATCTACAACCCGAGCGGCACCATCTTCCTGCCTGGACACACCAACTTCCCTAAAACACGTGAGGACAACGAGTCCCATGTGTACACCACCATTGAGGACACTCTTGTCTACACACACCTGCTAAGAAAGGGTAAGGAGACTGGCGTCTACGGAGAGTCGGACCCATCGTACAAGCCCTTCACAGGACACACGGTATCACAAAAGCCACTGGTTTCTGAAGACTCTGGTGCCGAGGACATGGAGATCGGTGTTTATCACCCGTTTCGGTACTCATCTCAACAAGGTCCTCCACTTCCTGTCCGGCCTCCGAGCCTTCCCCTGGTGGACAATCAGATCTACCAGACTGAGGACCAGAGCCAGGAGGAGCGTTCTCCGAAGCTGGGGCCGAGGCTGGAGCCGGAGGGAGGGGACTGAGGAGGAGAAGATTGGATTCAGCTTTCATTTTTTCACTTGACCTACTTGAACTTTTGATATTCATTCCCTGGCATCTGTGTGATTACCTGCTGTTCAGCCTTGAAAGCCTTTTTTTCCTTCTCTTGAGCGTAGTTTTGCACCAAAGCCAGACACAAAATAACCCTGTTCAACCCTGCCTGGAGCTGTTACCTTGTTTTATCTCCGATGAAGACACATTTGTTTTTAGAGAAGTACGTAATCATCCCTTTTATACCCTCTATTTTTGCCACTATTAAGTGATCTCATGCTTTTAGGCAACGACTGTTTTTCATTTTGAGATATTTTATACGTGTACTTATGGATGCTTGTGCAGGAGCAAAGCTGTGTGCTGTTTACATGCTGACTTTTTCATTTTTATCATCAAACCACCAAATAGTGAGGACTCCACTGCTGTTGCAATACATTGCACTTTACAGCATCATCAGAACATGATGCCCTGATGATGGCCTGTATTGCAGGAGATTGCAACAGCGGTGTGTGTGTGTGTGTGCGTGCGTGCATTTTTTTTTATCACTGCTTTTTCACCTGCTATGCAGACTTCTAGATATCATTCCACCATAAATGTGGTCAATACACTCCTGCTAATACAAGTTAGGATTTTAGAGTTGTTTTCAGCCAGGGACGAATTAGAAATTTATTGCTTTTGTTCATTTCTGGACCCATACTTTTGGAAATCTCAAGACTGATCTGCTGCTATCTAAGTGATCTCAGGTCCTGCCGAGACTTCTTGGTTTTCTTCCTGTGCATCACGATGAACGAGAATCACTAGCTTATCACTAGCTAGTTATTCATGTCGAGGACCATGGACTCCTTCTGCTGGACTGCAGTGGCATGGAATAAAAATCCTTGTTTGTTCTGTGACTGAACTCTGTGAGTAATTACAGGTAACTTTTAAAAGAGAGACTGTACGAGAGCTGTAATTTAACCTGACTGTGGTGAGTGCTCAGGACCTTTTCGTGTGTTGTTGTGTAGATCTGAGTCACTCGTTCTGTGAGGAACTACAAACTGATGTAAAACTAACTAAAAGGTCACGGAACAAACCAAGAACTAACTTAAGTTACATTCAATCAAGGGTTGTTGTTTTTTTTCAACTTTGTCATAAACAGTTTTCACATTTCCTGGGATGGATATTGTGGTGAAACAGAAAATAATCACACAGCATTTGAAAATATTTATGTGGAGTATTGATTTTCACATCAACCTGAAAACGAAAAGGTCTCATTTGAGAAAAAAAAATGTGGTTCAGAAAAGAAAATGTTTGTTTGTTTTGTGAAGCGATGTTGCCTCCTGCAGTTCAGAAAATGAACAGCAGAGGGAGACAGGATGCAAAGTTTGAAATAGTGTAGTGTAGTGCAAGAACTCTGTACACTCTTGACAAGAAATACTTTACAGTAGGACTGACACTGCTGAGGGGACTGAGATGAGGACATGCTGTCCACAAACACACCGCTGCAGTGCACATCCATGTTGATCTGACGTAACCTTCGTTTGGGCGGTGACCACTTATGTGAGTGGCAAAACAGGAACTCTGTTTTCATGATGGAAAAAAAATTGAGTGGGTGCAGAGACAATAAGAAAATCGTGCTCATTAAGTGGGAACTCTCCTGCACATGTTTTTAGAAAAGTAAGAGCAGGAAACCTCCAGAGAATTCAATTGTAAATTTTGGGGGAATTTAAAAATGGTTTGTTTTCATGTAAGCCTACTCCTCTGTAGGGAATCCTTTTGGATTTCCACCTCACACACCTTGTTCCCCTTTGTACATCCTCCTCTCTCAACTGTCAATTTACTCCCATCCCCTTGACCTCAACTGTCAAATATATAAAATGTTACTTACCATTTGTCTTGGCCTTGATTATGGACATTTCCTTAGTTCTAAAAAGTTACAAAAAAAAAAATGTCATTCATATGAACTAACTTGAAATCACCACCACCCTGTCCTCAGAGCTCACAGCCTTTGTTGAGATCATTTTTGAATCTTACTTTGAAAAGAAAACTTGGCTGCTTTTCACCCCTGAGTCACAATGGCCTTGCAAAATCACTGGGAAAAAGAGAGCAACTGAAAACCATGAAATTGTTTAGTTATTAGTTTTAGTTGCGACTGCCACGTTCTCTTCTTGTTTTATGAGTCATTACATAAGAATCTTTTTAATGAAGCATTTTTCCCTCCATGAGAATGTTTCCTCTGTTGAATCTTTGACTTGAGCAGGAAGAAAGCGAGAGGGCTGCAACTGAGGAGACATGTTTATTAACATTATATAATGTCATATAAACAGAAGGATTTTACATTCAGAAATTAACATAAAGAGAGTGCCATAGAAAAGGTTCTCATGGCATTTATTAGCAGATGCTATAGAAAATACATACAGCAAAGACTAGCCATCCAGTGGTGATTACCTCCATGAATATCTGACATGTTCTAAAATATACTGCAGTATTTGAAAACACGAAGTTTACTGAATGCATGTATAATATAATGTGCCAGTGAGTTTAGCTTATATAATGACATAGTGTATCCCAGACCACTGTGTGACGTCAACCGACATCTGAATGGCTTGGTCAAGAAAATGTGAGCGTAAGAAAGATGCAGCACATTATTTTTTTCAACGTATTGTGTAATTGTACCTGATAGCATCCAAATGCTCTGCGTGTTTCATTGTTTACTGTTAACGCGGGTGTTTGTCTGCGCAGTGTCACGTTAAGGTCAGAAAGCTTCTCTCACACGATGTTGAACTCACACACCGAGGCCTTTTCAGCTCTGCAGCTCTCATCAAACCACTTCCCGTTGGCTGTGGTGGAGAGGATGGCACAGTTATGGCTGCGCCCTCCGTCTGGCTGCAGGGTGATCTCTGTCTCCCAATTCTTGAAGCGCACGTTGGTACCCGATTGGTCCACCCACTGGCCGTCGGTCACCATGTCGTTGATGCCCAGCCAGATTTGCTCCTCCGGGCCGATGCTCTGGCGGACGTAGCTGTAGAGCTGGTCGTTCTCGTCTCCTGTCAGAGGAGTGCTCAGGCTGCCTCCTTTCGCGATGCAGTCATCACTGGCTGCGTGGAAAGTCTTCTTCACCGGATCAGCCAGGAAACACTTGCCGAGGATCTTTGTGCCTCTCAGACAAACTGGAGGGGGCAATTTTCAGAGTCAGTGCGGCTCAGGTGTCATTATTACATATCCATCACTAGAAAGATGTTAGACTAGGGTTCAAAATATGAGATAACGTACAGTCTGTCACTATTCTATTTCAGATACAGCATGTTTGAAGTGTAGTGCACCACATAACTTAACGTGGCAATTTCTTTGCAGGAGCAATACCTGTTTGTAAAGCCTGCTGCTCTTTCAACAAATTCAGCTCCTGAACAATGTCATCGATCTGTTTCTTCAGCTCCTCAATTGCAGCATTGGTTGTAGAGTCTGGGAGAGAGAAAAAAACATAATGCATTCAGTCAACTTTCACATAGCAGTTCAGTCGTGTTGTTCTGTAAAAGTTATCCGGAGACTTAACAAGTAAGGACGTCGTTTTCATTACTTCAATGTCAAGTTAATAGAAAGTCTTACCTTTTTTCCCATTTCTTTTCTTTGAGGTGGTCTGCTGGAGTGCACAGTGTGCCAGCAGTAGAAGGCAAAACATCAACCAAACCCCTCTAGCCTCCATAGCACTTGGAAAAACACTTTAAATCCACCGTAAAGGAACTGTTTTGGTGGAGCACCAGAAAAAAAAAAGCTCCTCGCAGCTCTGAGTCCTCGCCAGACTGTTGTGTTTAACACGCCTGGAGTGGCGGCACAGAGTTGAAATGAGGAAATCTTATCTCAGAGAGAACAAATGTTTAACAGATGTTTCGCAGCCATTTGTGTTGCGTTTGAAATGTTGAAGGGAGGTGGATTGGGGGGGGGGGTTTAACAGTGTTCAGACAAGCATGACTCTGGTTCCATATGTTTGTAGGATGCCAGTAGATTACAGGAGGGGCCTTATCTTTCTGTGCGTTATATCACATTTCTTACATGTGCCACTTAAAAGCAACAACTTGAGTTTTCCACATGGTTTTTCATAGTTGTCTGCTACTTGAACTGCGGACTTAACTTTTTGTTTCCCCCGTCTAAGAGTCTGTCGTGACCATAGGTTGTGACTGAGGGCTCCAACAGGCCGGATGTTTTGGGGTTTCTCTCAGAGCCTACATCTGGATCTCCTCAGTGAGCTGGAAGAGGTACAGACGACACGTGGCACAGACTTACATAATGAAGAAACACTGTTGTGAATTTAATATTTGTTTGAGTTTCATCCCTCACTATGAGACTCGCCCTCAAATGAGAAAGCTGACAGTGATCGCACATTCATTCACTGTCTGAACACTTTTTATGAAAAAACTGCATAATGCATTTTTATATTCAAAAACAAACAGCTAGATTACAAAGAGGATGTATTGTATTTTTTGTAGACTCCATATTACACCCTCACTGTTCAGCAGATTCAGTTCCCAGCTGTTCATACCCTTTTACCTTTAATGTTTCTAAAGGGTTAATTAGACCTGAATACATCTGAATTTAAGTTGCTGGGGCAACAAGCTTTGTTGCTTGCACAGAAATGTGCATCAGTGAAGTGGGTTGAGTTGGTTCCTCCTGCTGTAATGTAATAAAATATTTAGGATTCTTCCTTTAGAGAGGTTGTCTGCCTTCCTGGGTCAGAGTGAAAGAAAAATGTTTCTATAGATCATATCCAGCAAAGGACTGGAAATAGCTTGCTTGTGGAAATGAAGTCTTATTGTCATTACTGTTGTTTCATTCTGTCATGAAATAAATAAAATATATTGAGACAAACAGGGAGTGATTTTATCAATATATTTGAAATAAAATATTTACAAAATAAATGAACAAGGAAGCCGGTTCTGTAAGTAGAACAGTAAATATGACATTCACTGAAAATAAGTCATTTATAATGTACAAAAGTTCAGGCAACAGCAAAGGCAGCTTGTAAATACATAGAGAATAACAGTGCCCAGTCACAGTCATGGTTTACGCTGCCCTGTGCACAGCAGGCACGTCGACGCTCGGGTCTGTGATTCAGAGCTTGTCAGCGTCACAAAAGTACAGACAGTGCGTTGGGTCACAATTCAATATTCAGTGGAGTGCATAGTTAGTTAGTCGATTAGTTAATTTCAGTCCAGACCACATCCCCTTGACTATCAGGGCTTCATCTTCCATAGAATAATAATGATGTACGTACGTGGTGTACTGCTGAGATGACAACACAGGAGAGTAAAGAGTACACAGTCTGCAGGTACATGGAAGAACGTGTTGAATTATAGGATGTTTATGCACGCACTTCTCTTGTTTAACTCATTTATTTGTTATTAATCTGTATTTTTCTATTCTCTGAATCCCGTTACTATCCAACACTGGAATACTTAATTTCCCTTTAGGGCAAAATAAAGCTATACATAATTTTACTCTTCAGTTTTACAGCCTTGATGCTTTCAAGCATTTTTCATTATTACTTCTGTGTTCAACATGCTTTGTGCATTTGTTCATTGCTCAGTGGATAAGAAGCACTTGAGATAAATACAAAGCCCTTTGCATCGCAGCTTCGCTCTTACTTCTAACCAACAAGCAAAGCTCCTATGCTGGTGTATCCCTCTGGGTATATTTCTCATATAATTTAGCATCTTAAGAGTTCTTTTTTCACAGTGCAAGAAAATTCAAAACACTGAAAAGAAGTCAAAAGTTCACAGGAACACAAACAGTTTGCAAAATCACAACACTCCACATAAAATAAATACAACTAAATGAAGAACACAACACAATTAAAAATAACACATCTTGAGGTAAAAACATGCAGGAATAAATTAAGTGTGCTTCATGTATGCCAAAAAAATAAAATTACAATGAGTCCTCTTCATCTTGTTGCCATGGTAAACTATCTGAAGCCTCTGCAGGGAATTAGGCACCATCCCTCTGGTCTACGTTGGGCAAAGCACTGCAATAACAGCAAAGATTAATATTAGCAGAGCTATGACTGACGAGGGATGAAGCTTGAGTATGAGGAGATATCAGTAAAATTGCAAGTGGGAAATAAAAAGGAGAAAAAACAGAAGGAAAAAAAAAAAACACCTGTTGAAAATCACAGTTTCACCACATCAGTTATAGACTGCTAAATATCTGAAATGAAATCTCAAGCATACTGTAGGTTGGGTGATTTGAAGGATAAAGATTTGCAGGCAACTAATAATCATAAAACAGTGTCTTAAAAATGAACTGCAGGGTGGCACAGAGTCACTGTCTGTGAGTCTAGACACTAACAGGGATAAACCATGCTTGCAGTCAGTCCACTGTGTCACTGTGTGGGAGAGGGGAGAGGTGAGAGGGAGAAACATCGGGGTCAGACGCCACTACACTTCAGTGGTAGAGAGGGGGCGCTCTCCCACCGTGAGTGACAACACCACAACAGTGCACATCACACAGTGAACGTGTCACAAACCTCTCCGTCCATCGCTCACACCACAGCTAGCGAGTGTGAGGCGGCGACAGATTAGGCAGAGTGGAACATAAGAAGTAGAGAAAGAAAACATGAAGGGATGAAAAGAGAATGCGTGTGAAAGAGAGGACACACAAAAGATAAGAGCTAACATATTTTGGCAGGAGACACTGAGGGAACATACTGGTTTGTTTGATTCAAATCATTTTCTGAAGCGTATTGTACTTTTTATGTTGATTTCCTAAAAATGTTTTTTTCTGCCTTGGTTTGTTTATTTGACAATGCACCAACTAGTATTCTGAAAACATTTAAATGAGTCAGCAGCCAAACTTTTTAACTCTAAGAAACCATTAGATTTATATTTTGATTTTCAAAATCTCTATTTACTTGCTAAATATCATTTTCAACAATACAAGATGAAAGAAAAGCAATACTTTGTGGCAGCCAACTGTCTTTAAATGCACCAACAGGAATTGTTTTCAAAGCAGTACCTGCTCTCAACTGCAAAGCCAAGCAACAGCAACGTAACTGACTAGAAAAATGAAGGCAGTGGCCTGTTCATGTTTGGATGGATGGACAGCCTCTTTATCAAGCAAGTTTCAAATCTCTGCAAGATGGTTTTTTTTTTGTACAAGTTTGTAATTTTGAAAGGTAAGAAACAAATTTAAACTTTTATTAAATGCACGAAAGCTGTAGTAATGTTAAGTATATATGATTTGTAGTAAACAGGCTCAAACATGTAAAACCAACTTCTACAGTGTACAGACAAAAAAAAAAATAAGAGAAAAGGCTCACCTTTGAGAATATAGTCTGTTAAGAGACCGGGCACCTTGTCACTGTCATCTCTCATAGCTTGTAGAACTGAGAAGCAGCAGATAGGAAGGAGTGAATGGATCAGTCACAGCCACTAAAATTCAAGCATGGTTGATACAGATGGAGAAACTTACTCTTGGTCAGGATCTGGAGGTCCTCAATCGAAGGAGGGTGTCCCTTTTTCTCATAAGGGATGACTGTGGTCAAATACTGTAAACCATCAGGAAACAGTGGCAAGGACAGGGAGAGAGAATTTCAAAAAGGTACAACATCTATTGCATGAATGCTGGAGAAAAAAAACAATGCATACAGCCAGACTCTTTCTTTACTGAAGTTCCAGATCTGGTTAACTATGTTGAAAAGGAAGATAGTTGAGATAAAGTGGATGTATCTGGGGGGATGGCATTCCCATCAAAGTGTATATTTTCAGTACAGAAAGCAGAAAGGCGAAGTTCAGCAGCTGAGAGAGAGAAAAGGGAAGTAACCTGTCTTTCACTGCACCCACTCCCAAAAGTTTGCCGGAAGCTGTTTTGGATGACGGAGGAGAGTCCCTCCATGCTGAAGCGCTGAGGAGGAAGGAAGTGAAGCAGAGAAACGGCAGGAGAGAGATTATCGAAGAACACGAAAGATTTCAGGAAAATGCGCTTTGTGGGAAAATTTAAAAAACAGATACAGCAAGAAATGCAGCGATGAGTGGAAAAGAAAGATCCGAAGATATCACATGATTACGGTATTATCACTACCGAACCTTTCAAGTGATCAATAAGGAGATAAATAAATCAACACACATAACCAGGATGGTAGTGTTTCATTAAAACCTGACTGTAAGAATGAAGTACTAACTGATCCGAGTGTTTTCTCAGCGTGGCCCTGCGACGTCCCAGCTCCACTTTTAAGCTTCTTCTTCTTCTTCAGCAGCTCGCGTTGCTCCTTCTGCCGGTTTTGCACATCGATGAGCGCTGAGATGAAACTGTTCTTCACCTCTTTTTCAAAGTCCAGCTCATCCCTGAGAGCCAGTTGCTGCACCAGCTCCTCCGAGAACCTTCTGATGTTCGTCTCCGTCTCCTCCAGACATTCGTTCAGCTCTGCAACACTCAGGGTCCTCACCCCTGCAACGCAAACGTACACAAAGACACACAAAGCATACAGTTATTTGATACTGAAGGAAGCCAAGCAGGCCCTTTTAAAAATGCAAGAATCAATTATATACTAAATTTGATCAGTATGTTATGAGGTGCCTTCAGTTTCAAATAATTTTACAGACAACTCAGATGTAAAAGTGCTTTTCTTTTGTGTATGTAAGTATGTGACATGTATTACAAAATTATCAAATTGGGAAGTAAAATTAAAAAAGAAATGCATTGAAAGAACTGGTGGTAGAGCATTGAAGACATTGAAGAATAAGCCTGGCCTTATTACCTCCACCAAGGAAATTATGTTTTCACCCGTGTCTGTCTATTTGTCAGCAGGATTATGCAAAACGTACTGAAACAATTTGGTCTTGGTTGAGGGCTGGGGTATGGATCAGGGAAGAACCCAGTACGTTTTGGGGCAGATCCGGGTCATTTGCTATGAATTTGAAGGTTTTTCTCTGAAGTCTGGTGTATGTTGTTTGACATTGGCATCGGTGGAGCTCTGTGCTCACTGAGTGCCCTTCTAGTTTATATTTTTCTTATTGGCAATAAATCCCATGAAAATCCCAAAACCAACAGTCCTTTAGACTATCTACCAATCATATCTGACCTCCTAACCCTGTCTCTGGTTCTCAGCCACAAGCCCATTCATACTGTGGATGTAAATCTTTAAAGACACACAAATAAATATTTTCATTTTATAAAAAGACTAAATAATGACCTGAAACAGCTGGGCACTGTGGTTTTCAGCAGATGTTACTCAAATGGGAGAAACTGGTGCATTTCTTAGGCACTATTTTCAGCTGTGGATTTAGACACATTTGGTGCTCTACTAAGTACTTCAAACAGCAGGATGGTGTATGTGGTGTTTATTCAAAATAAACTACAGTGCCCATGGTGATCGTAATCAAGGAACAGGTCACCCAGTGTACCACTTTTTATGTCTGCACCACTTTTTATGTGTTCTCAGAGTTAGAAAAACACAATATCAAGAACATATTGTGAGAGAATGTTTCCTGATATTGATGGTGAACCAGTGTACTAATAACAAATTGCTTAACAAGCAAAGAATCACAAGAACATATCATCACAACACTGATACAATTCATTCAGCACTGCAACAAGACAATACAATATATTGGTACTTTCATATTGATTACATATCACGAGACAAAGTGTCACATAATACTGATTATTTGTCCTGATCAGTGGACACTCACTCTGCTCGTAGCTGGGGCTGCTGGTGGACCGCTGGACGTCGAGTGAGAGCATCGAGAGGTCCGACTGAGAGGGATTGTGCTCTGCCTCCATGTCAGGCGAGTCCTGCATCATCTCCTCTATCTCCTCAATAACCTGAGAGAGCGTCAACAGAGAGAGAGAGAGAGAGATAAGCACTCAAAATAACCCATTGAAAATCAGTTATTAAATCTCTGTGAGAAACACAGAGGGATTTCAGCCATGTTAAGCTGCTGCTCTGCAATTGTAGGCCTGATCCAGTGTGACTGAGAACGGGCCAGACTATGCTGGAGGATGGTGTTTATGTTTATATGCAACTTACCTGCTCTGCTGTGAAAAGGGGCTCCTCTGCGAGGCAGGAGACAATGATGGAGTGCATGTCCAGCTGCTCCCTCAGCTCCTCATCGTCTGACAGCTCCGCCGCGACATCAGTCTTCCTCTGGCCAGGAACAGGACAGGGGGAGTGAATTTAATCAAAGCACTAAACCCCAGCACAATGAATATTTGAGATTTGTGAGATGAACAGAGGAGAGATTTGGTGGGGGAGGGAGAAAGGGAGGGAGGGTTGCTGGGGTTGAAGGGGAAAGTGGGACAGGGATGGGATGGGATGGGATGGGATGGGATGGGATGGGTGGAATCGCTCACAGTTGTCTCCTTCAGGTTGAATGAGGGGACGTGGAGGGAGCATGTTCGAGACTGTTTCCAGTCCACCGGCATCACATGCCCATAGTTACTGGTTAAAGCGTTCCAGATTCTGTGGGGAGACGAGACAGAACAAGTCTTAACGAATCTTTCGGTGAAAATTGAACTGACATAATTATCATCAATACAAACCACATCCTTTTTACTGATAACAACTCTTTCCTGAGCCTACCTACTTTCCTTGATGCTGAGGGGACTGAATGTAAGAGGATGACACAGAACTACTTTTAGAAATCACATCCACAAATGTATCACAGTCAGATTAAACAATTTTGGTGTGGAGGGCAAATATGACACGTTCCTGTAATCCCCAACATGGAATCCTATCAAGTTGAAAAGGCCACGATGATTACATTTTTGTATCACAAAAACCCAAAGCTGCAGGAATAATATGTCACTGGACAAATGTTTAGTGCTAATGTTAAATATATTTGTGTATTTGACTATTTTTAACCACTAATAAACCCACTGCTTTTCAACTAAACACTTTTAAAGTCTTTAATATAGTATTGAGTGGATATGTGTTTTTTTACCAGTGTTAGAAACTTTCCTCTTAACTGTTATTTATGACTATATGATGGCATTGGAAACAAACATGGTCAATAAAAGTGCCAAATTCACAAATATCAGCTGTAAAAACAGAAATATTACTCCTTAGTCCACTCATATCCGCCACTATCGGTTTTTAAAAGCCATTTAATGGCAGATACAAATATCATGCCAATATTAGTGCACCTGTTTGTTTGAATGAATCGGTTGAAAAAAATGTTCACGTCCAGAGTCTGTCATCTCAGTGGATTAAAGCAGACCTACATTCTGAGTTTTAATGGATGACCAAAGATGGCTGTCACATCACTGATAGTTAATAACCCTTTCCAAGAATTGCTGGCTTCCTGATCTGGTCCCAATGCAGACACCAAGCCTTACTATGATTTTCAAAACAGTGAGTGGAAGCCTCCTCTTCCACACATCTTTAAAAAACAACAGGCCACAAACAAACAAGCACACTCACTCGTCTTTCTCCAGCAGCGTGTCCTCCGCGATCACGCTCACGGGAGCGATGCTGTCCGTCTTGGCGTTAAAATTTTGGAAGCACGCGGATAACTTCTCATCGAAATCGTTCACCAGGTCCTCCATGGACCTGAAAGCACCGGTTTCCCCCGGGGAAAAGCTGCTGTCGTGCAGCTCGAAGAGATCATCATCTTCCAGGAGAAGCTTCGCTGCCGCTTCCCCCGCGGCGGCGGCGGCGGCTGCTGCACGGCCTTTCCGCGGCAGCAGCCCCTGCTCTGAAACCATGTTCAAGTCACCCAAATTCGGCCAGTCGTCGTCGAAATGTGCAATAGGTGCGGCCATAGCCCGGACCGGCCTAACAGCTCCGGGTAAATGATGGATGAGCTGTGGGACTGGCAGGCCTCAGCATCCTCTCTGTCTGCCTGTTCCCTTCCCACAGCTTGGCTGCACTGGACAGTATGGCTGCACCGGGCCTGGCCGACTAGCGGCGACAGTGACCGGAGACGAAGGAACGAACATCGCAGATCGGGAAAGCGTGGTGACAGCTATTTAGACTCAGTTCGTCAGTCTGTACATCAAAATAATTTTTCAAAACCAATAGAAGCCCCTCATTCATTTATTAACGTCATCGGTTGGTGCTGTTAAAAGTTGTTTTAACTTTTTTGAGGCAGTCTCTACTTACAGCACAAAATGTCGTTACAAAAAATGTTGCAAAAACAAGCAACCGCAAAATAGGTGACATTTAAACACATGTCAAACTGTGTGTGTGACGGAGAGAGAGAAAGAGAGAGAAACAGCGACGTCCTGTGGATGAAACAGGAACCACCTAGCACCACCTCATTCTACAATATCAAGCGCTCCCTGCGTTGCTAATGGCAACGGACTCCAAACAAACAGACGGCTCGTTCTCGAGCCAGTCTGGGTTATTTAGTTTGAGGAGTTCACTCGCAGTGTCCGGCTGGTCTCAAGTAAAATGAGCTCACCTTTGTCGATGCTGAAGAAAACGAGGCGCACTCCGCTGCAGGGCCCTCTGAACGAGCAACGGTGGGTTACTCACTGGACACAAGTACAGAGCTGCATTTATGCCAATAGGGAACCTGTACATGTAACTGTGTTTGACCTGCAGGGGCAGACAAAAAGTGCCTTTCAGGAGGAATCGGTTAACAGGTAGGCTGCTCAAATCTAAACATAATGTCAAAGGTCACTCAACAGCTGTTACAACCAGTGGTGAGGGAGGTATTCACATTCTGTACTCAAGAAAGAGAACTGTAAAAAAAAAAAAAAAAAAAAAAAAAAAAAAACTAAAAACACTCAGTAAGTAAAAGTATGTAAACATAATCAGAAAAATTTAAGTAAAAGTGTTCAATGCATAAAAATGCGTCTTATACTATTATATATCATTAGGTTATTATTACTCATGCATTAACTATTTTTTTTAAACTATTTAACAAATAAAATAAAATCATTAAAATAATGATCAGGAAAAAACAGCAAATCCTCACGTTACAAGCTGGAGCCTTGAGAAATGTGTATGTCATTTTTGCAGCTGGCCTAATTCAATATTACTGAAGTGGATATAAATAACTGATTAACTTTTTGCTCTGTTGTCTCACACGTAACCATCAACTTAATACTTCCTAGAAACTCACTACCACTTAATCATCTGGGCCAAAACCTCAGCTTCTCTCTATGTCTGGATGTAGGAACTGGAAATTATTTGACCTTTTGAATAGAAGCTTTAAATTATTATCGACAACCACAAACGCCCACACAGAAAAAACAGTTCCTGTATGAACTGTATAAAAATGAACCTGATCCCACTGTCAAACCCTCTTTGACTGAAGTGACTGACAACATGCCCATCATCAGCATGGTGAGTGATCTGTATGACAGTATTCTGTGTTAAAGACAGAGACAGATGTGATGCTTAGTGATTGATGTTTGATTTAAAAAATATATATATAAAAATTTATATAATATATATATATAATATATATATATATAATCAAATAGAGGCTGTCAAGATTTTGAACAATATTTTTCAATCAACTTTTTATCTAAATTTACAATGAGAATAATAATAAGAAGAAAAGAGTCGTTTTTTTTTTTTGTTTTATAGTAAACTTATCTAATAAAATTAGAATTTAATAGTTTCTCAATTAATGTTTTGACTAATCTAGTTTAGTATGTAAAACATTAACTTGTAAAGTGACAGTAAAACAGTTGTAGTGGAGTAAAGTACATTATTTCCCTCTGAAACGAGGTGGAGTAGAACTAAGAGGCAGCATGAAAAGATACTCCAGTAATTCGACCACTCTTAATCCCACTACTCTGACAAACAGATATTTACTATACATTTGTATATATTCTTTTTTAAACCTTTTTGTGACACTCACATATTTTTGTAATGTGTGTTTCCTTTTTCAGAATTTCAGGCAGCATTAGTTGACAGTGCTGATGATGATCCATCTGATACAAATCCTCTCCAGTCCTCCCACACTCCAGCCAGCAAAGCCTCCACTTCAAAATCAAAAGCCCCTTTAAAGAAAGGTACAAGTTAATACAGAGTTATTTATCCCAGTGTGAAGTAAATTTTTTGATTTGCTGTTATAGAAAACAAAGCTAACTCTAACTCTGATAATCAGCTGCTCCACCAAGCGACTTTGAGCTCATGTCTGCCATGATGCAGCGGGTGAACCTGCTGGAGAAAAAAGTGAGGAGCCAAGCGCAGGAGATCGAGTGCAAGGTGAACACATGCCTCCTCCGGGTGAATAATGAAGTGGCAGTAACATACATCTTTGAGACATGTCACACCCCCAGTTTATATTTTCTTCATTCTTCTAAAGAATAAAAAGATCTCTGTTTTGGAGAAGAAGCTGAAGGTTTGGAAAGAATCAGGTAATCACCTTCAACATGCGCAGACCTGAGTTTGATATAAACGCATGATACAGATGAAATGATTTTGCCTATTTGCGGATTTAGGGAGTGCACATGATCTGAGCGGCAGAGAGGGTCTTGAAAAAAGGTGCCAACAACTGCAGAACCAAGTGCATGAAATGGAGGTGAGTTGATTAAATATTACATTTCATTCATGTCTTTATGCTGTGATCACACCATACTGAACTGCGCTGGTCCCTGTCCTGCAGAGCTTTCTAAATGACTATGGTTTGCTCTGGGTGGGAGATGGGGAGACCAGTGACTCAGAGGACTGTGAGCAGACATACAGCTCAGGTAGAGGCCTCTGGCAGCCAGGTACTTTCATCTTTATCAGCCCTAAGCTTTCTTGCTAACATTCACAACACAGGGCCATAACATGTTGTATATCTTTCCTCTGCAGGCATCTCTGGGGTCAGGGATTTCCACATGAACTTTGACCTTGTGATGCTGAGGATCATGGAGCTGAACATCCTCGCAGGGGAGGGAGAGTCTTTTGTGCAGTCGACAGCCACGGGGGCCCAGCTGGCAAAAAAGGAGCCTATTCAACTTAGGCTCTACAGCAATGGCATTGTCATGTTTGATGGTCCTTTCCGCTCTTATCAGGAGCACAGCACCCAGGTTTGCAAACTAAAACTGTACGGGATAAAAAACACCTACTTTAAACTGGGGTCTTTGATGACTCTTCCTTTGGTCTGTGCAGCAGTGCATGCGTGATCTGATGGACGGGTATTTTCCATCTGAGCTTCAGGAAAGATTTCCAGATGGTGTTCCTTTTGAGGTGTGTCTCCGTTTCTTTCCGTTTGCCTGTCAGCAAATGTGCAAAGTTATGACTTATCAAAAACTTACTGTGCAGGTTCATGACAGGCGAGATGAAGAATTTATCTTCAGGCTACCGTGGGAGAAAGATGATTCATCAAGTGTTGCCAGCTCTCAAATACCTGGTCTGTCCTGCAAACATCACTCTGATACTCCCAAAAATCAGACCTGTGATGGATATCCTTTATCTTCACTGTCATTCTCATGTTCTCTTCTGGCTCACACAGGCAAGACAGTGACCATGGATCAGTTCCTGAACAGGCTGCCGAAGGTGGTGGTCAAGGCTGGTCGCGTGATTGATGTCAGGGACTCACTGAGAGCAACCCTGCAGGTGAGAAAGCAGAAAGGATCGACCTCATTTCAAAAGCACTTACTCATATACCCTGCTTGCGTATGTATGCTCTCTTACAGATGATCACGCTATCTAGTCTGCCTGTAGTTGTGCTTAACGTAATGCTCTGATCTAACAAACACTTTCTCTAGGGTTCATCTGATGTGCAGAGCAGCGACTCAGTGGTCTTCATAGACACAGCCGCACTGCAGGCAATGAGAGAGAGGTATTCAGAAATGTCATCATTCATTACATAAGCTTACCGATTTTTTTTTTTTTTAGTACCATGAATCGTGATACAAATTTTTGTGTCTAAAAACCAGTGGGAGAACACATTGTGCAGACAAGCATTGTTCAAATCTATAGAAATGTGTTTTAAATTGTAGAAGAATATTCCAACGTTTCTAAAAGGTACAAAAATGCATCAATAAAATGATGCATGAATCAAGAGTATTTCCATTTGATGTAAAGGCAGAACCATGGAAAAACATGGCATCTGGGGTTTAATATGTTACTCAGTATAAACATCATATAGTTGATCCAGATACAAGATGCCAAAACAGCAAAGCAAATCATTTTCTAACATCACAACCATGTAGAAATTAGAAGGAAAAGCAGAGGTTAAAAGGACCTGCCAAATCCAAGTACGTACTGCATGATGTAAAGGCTGATTAAAATCCCTTTCTGGCAACGATGGCTGACAGTCGAGATTGTGGAGATTACTGTATGCACTGGTCGGAAAAATAGGGCAGGTCACCACGGACAGCCAGAATTCGTTAGTTCGTGATGGGGTGTAGGATTCAGATGTGTGACCTCCTTAAGGAGTCTGAGACCAGTGAAAGACATTATTATATAAAGTGTGTTCGGTTTTTATGCCTCACAATGCAGCTGGTAACGTAAGTTTTGGTTAATGTAGTGGTATGCAGAAAGAAAGGGGTCAGCTTTAACTCATATTTATACAGTAAATTTTTATATTATGAGTTTTTGTCCCTTTTCACATTCAGACTGGAGACATCCAGCTCTGACAGGCCATCGTCACCCCGTGATGTCATCACGCTCAAGGTGAAGTCTGAGGATGGGAGTCATACTTACATCTTGAAAATGTGCTTCTCAGAAACAATCGGCCACCTGCGACAGTATCTGGACAAACACAGGTGAGACCTCATCCTCCTGTCCAAGTTATCTCTCCTCTGCTTTCGTAACAATGCGACACTGGTTGCGTGTTATTTCTTACACTACAGAGGCGATGGTCTCCCTGGTTACGACATCATCAGCGCGTACCCACAATGCCGCTACGATGACGACTGCAGGACACTCCCATCATGTGGACTCACCACTAATGCTACTCTGCTGCTGCGAAGGAGACATTCATTGACTGGAGTCAATCAAATAAACTTATAAAAAGTCATATATGACTTGTAAGGCACTTTTTTTTTCTTTTCTTTTTTTTTTTATAAAATCAGCCTTTTTCACAGAAGACTAGTCAGTCATAGTAAGAACAGTACAGGTGTTCAAGTGTCCCCTACAGTGAGCTGCCATGCACAATACCAGGCCCCTGAAACTGAAGCTGCTAAATGGAATTCAGTCATCAATAATCTTAGTATTTACCCATGTGCTCTTCCTACTCTGTCAAAATGGCTTCTGTGAAAAAGGTCCACCCTTGAGTGAGAGAAAATCCTGTTAGTGACACAGATGTGGATGCATTGATCAAACTGATACCAATTCCAATACCTTAACTCCAGGTATCTGCTGATGCCAAGGGTCTTTTTTCCAAAAGTAGAATCTGTCAATCTCACTGCTGTGGAAGTCATTTGAATCATTTTTATGTAGCAGGAGAAGTGAGCTGTTTGTCCACTGAAACATTATGCTTTATCTCAATGACAAAAGAAAAATTATTTTACGTGGATCGGTCATGTCAAGGTTGATACCTGATCTGCTTAATAAGATGAGTATCAAGGCCAACGCGGATCCAGTGTATTGAATCAGTGCATCCCTAGCTATAGAAAGCTATTTCTCCTGGTTCTCTGCACAGAGAGAATAAAAAGAATGCAGTTACAAATCGATGAAAATGAAATAAAACAAAATCCCAAACAAATTAAAACAAAACAAAATGTTGAAAATCTTTATTTCTAAAATATGCAAATACAAACAAGGACAAAGGTATGAAAATATAAACATCTTTTTCCCTTTCGCAAAACATTTGAGATGTTAAGGCATGCGGAACCTGACTTTTCCAAAGATAAATCTTGTGCTACACGAGGTTAAAGGTCCCATGAAATGAAAAATGGCTTGTGTCCCTGGGTGTGTTGTTCAGTTTAATTTGTCAAAAAGTCATTGTTGCATATTTTTATATTAAAATCCCTTACTCTTTGTGTAAAGTGTCGAGTTTTTTTAAATGGCTTATCCTGCACTCACGGCAAATATAAAATTCCATTGACTTCAATGTGATCAGTGATTTAGGGGTGATCCAGCCAACCCCTCCCGTCATCACTGCCACGTGGGATTAAAACCTGAAGAGCTAATTATCCTCAGTGACTGCTGCCTGGCCGAATATAGCCTGGCCCATCTCATATTAAACACCACAGAAGAAAATAATCTAAAAGCCACTTCATGGGACCTTTACACATTGTTGTTGTTGTTTGCTAAAACAACATTAGCACATTATTACAGCAACACATTAGGAGGACCCAAAACGCTTTCACACCGAGTTGTCAATGCAAACAAAAAAAATAAATAATACTGAAGATTAATACTGTATCTCAGGCATACATTTATCAAACACTTAACCACTCTGTCGAAGCCGTTATCGACTGAAATGTACAGTATACTGTGAAGTTATTCCTCTACACAGAGCAGATTCTACAAAGATCACCCAGACTAATAAATTTGACTTGACTTCATTTATCTACCAGGAACAAAAACAGTGTAGGAGCCTCCACGAGCTCTGTGACGCGGCCCACAGTTATCTGCTACATTCAGAGTCAGGGAATGTATTGACAATCCTACTGGTTGACACACTGAGAGAAACGTCATATTGGAAGAGTCCGCTGCAAACAGCCCTTTGTGGTTGGTCTAAAATGAATTAGCATTGTGGTTGCAAACTTACAGAAAGGCACGTGTTGGTTTTCATTCAGAACGAGGCCTGCAGCAGAGAGGAGCATTCACAAACATTCTTAGACTTGCACAACTGCCCCGACCAGAGTTTTCTTTGGTAGTAAAACTGATGTAGGCCTGTTGGTGTGAGAAGCTGATTTGGTATTAAACCGTTCAGTTGTTAAGTCTGACACCTCACAGCTGAGTCTAATGTTACAGTTTTCACCATTTTAAATAATGGCATGTTAGTAACATTTCCTTGTGAATTCAGTTAAAAGCACAGGTTAAAATATTTTCAGTTGATTGTCAACCATTTCTTGGATAATTCCCCTCAGGAGGGAAATTAAGATTTAAATAAATTACATATGTGGGACTTCTACACAAATAGTTTTCCACTAGAGTGGAACAAAAAGTATAAGACTGTTTGGTAACTGACAGTATCATGTCATTATTATTAAAAAAAAACAATAAACACACACACAATGCTTTAAGGATCAAGTATTAGAGGTAAGTTATTTTCTGTTAGCCCTTGGACAGAAATAGATGAACTCACCGGGGGGGTTGGGAGGGTTCTGAGCTACAGGCAGGCTTGAGATTCAACGTTCAGTCAGTCGAGAGAAGCAGAAGCTAAACCATTTGGGCTTTCCTCTGTCCTAATTTTAAGAAAATTAAAATCCAGTCCTCTTTCTGACATTCAGTTACTCGGCCCATTTTAGGTGCTTCTGAGATGAAATGGGGCTTCTGCAAGTTTCCTCCATCACCTGGGTGGGTGGCAAGTTATTGGGTGATGCAGTTTTCTCCCATGTCCTGTGCATAACGGTCCAGTATTACATTACGTAGTTCCTCAACATCTCGACGGAGCTGTTGAGCTTCGACGAGTTTCTTCTGAAGCACCTCTGGACTCATCCAGTCCTCGTCCTGCTCTGCCACTGGTGGTGGTGCTGATAAAACAAAACATGACTCTGATTCATGTACTACAACTTTTCTAACCCTAAATTCTCACAATACGAATCATTTTCTTATTGCATTGTACTGTATTACCAATAAGAGAAAGAGTAAAAGCAATGCTTACATGTGAGGCCGAGTAGCAGGGAGAGGTTGGGGTCTTGTCCTTGAGCTCTCTGAGTCAGGATGCTGCACAGTGAGCGCAGGTCACTGAGGCAAGAGGCGATCTCTACATGAAGCCTCTGTGTGAGACGAGCCCCGGCTGGCTGCAGGGCAGAGGAGGCCTGGTTAGTGCTCCTCTGCTCTGGATCACTCATCTGCTCCTGCAGAGTCAGGTTCTGCTCCATCAGTTCCTGGTTCTGGGCTGACAGCTGAAACACGGGAGTCAGCATCAAAGTTAGTTAAGAGCAGTCAAGGAACAATTAAGGTTCTCTGCATACTGCACTAAAAAAACCTAATGATTTTCATGGATCAACCAAACTCACCTCCTTCATGGCTGTGTGGAGCTCTAACACATTCTGCTCTTTGGCCAACACCTCTTCTCTGAGAGCCTGAGAGCTGCTCTCTTCCTGAGATATCTGCTCCTCCAAAGCCTGCAAACACAAACAATTATTGACTCACAAATGCTGAGGTGAAACTATAACCAATTAGATTAATATAAAATACAAGTGTAATATATTTATATAATAATGATATAAATAATATAAAAACCTGGATTTGGGAGCCAAGCTGTTCCATCATTCGGTGTTGCTTCTCAATAACCTGCAAAAAAAAAAAAAAGAACTGAGCCTTAAAACAGTAATTTCCTACTTGGAACAGCACTGTGAGACCTTATAAACCTAATTGTACCATGTGTGCTGCTAAACTTAACAACTGCACAGCTCAGAATCTATACTTTTTGGTTTGCAGTCACAGAATATATCCCGTGCGCTCTCTTGGGTTGGGAAATAAAACCAAATCCATTCAAGGAACTGCACCCAGGGTTTCCAGAGCTAAACTGTCACCCGTTTTATTGACTCCCATTCCTTTCATTTTAATATCAAATTACATTCCTCTTTTCCCTCCCTTTTCTGTTGGACTATAAGGTTGTGGCATGAGACTTTGTGGGAATAGTGTCTGTGTAACTGAAGGTGTTTGCTTAGCTGAAGCACACAGCAGCACAGAAAGTATGGTAAATACTACAATGAAGACATTAAGGGAAAGGAATGACAAACCAGACTAACAAATAATGCTTAGAAAAGATGAAAAAGTTCTGCTGTTTGATGAATGTTTGCTGCTGCATGCTTTAACCACAAGATGCAGAAACTTACTTTCAGAGAAATAAACACTTCTTGTTGGTTCAAATTTAACTGAACAGCCATTTCCTCTGAGCTCACTCAGTCACATGAACTTTTTGAAGCTGAAGTAATTTGGGTTCAAGCATATCAGCAGCATAACTACTATTAGATTGCAGAGTATAAACAAGTTGTGCATTCAAATTTGGGAGTGGTAATTTAAACCAGTCCACTTGTACTCTTTGTGTACTCTCGAGTATAAGGTGTACACAGATTAGCTTTTAAAGAGAAGACACTCAGAACATGTAAAGAACAACAGACCTTTTTGAGTCTTTGCTGTTCCTCCCTTAAAGTGTTGTTCTCTACTCTGAGCTTCTCAATATCCAGAGAAGGCAGTCTGGCTCCATCCTCAAGGCCCTGCTGCACCCGCTGCTGCATACTGATGAGGACAAAAATAAAAACACAGAAGACATTATACAGCAATACTACCGTCTCTTTGTGCACAGAGTGAAGAGAACAAACATGCCTACTGGGCAGATTGTTCATGGTGATCAGACCACGTGTGTGTACATACTCAGTAATCGTGGTCAGCAGGTCTCTCTCCCTGCGTTTCTGCTCCTCCAGCTGGGCATCTTTCTCCCGTAGTTGTGAGTGTGTCGTCTCTAGACAGAGCTCCAATTCTTTTACTTTCTCCTGTAGTTTGGCTGCCTGCTGTTCAGCCTCCAGGAGCTGATATTTTTATAAAACACATGTCTACATTTAATGATTTAAACACCTTCAACCAAGTAAGTCAGACCAGACAGAATGAGAAGTGATTAAATTAAGTAAATATATCCTGACCTGCTTGTTCTGGCTCTGGTAGTCCTCCAACGTGGGCAAGTCAGCTAGATAGCGCTCCAGAGTCTCAATACGCTGCTGGTTCTCTCTCTTCAGCTCTGCCTCCTTCTGACACTTCTTCTTCAGGTTGTTGATGTGCTTGTCTCGACTGCGGATCTGCATACATAGGCAACATGTGGTAAGTGGGATAATATGCTCCAAATTTAATAAGTGTACACTCAAGGCAAGAACATGCGAGAAACTGCTCCCACAAACACAACCACATGTTGCCTTTGGAGAAACTGCTTTCACACAATTTTCTATCCCTGAGATAACTCTGGGAGAACCTGTTAAAGCCTACAGTTTTAAGATCTACTTATGTACTGTGCTCTACAGTCATTTTACAGGAACAGTGAACAGCATCTCAGTTCCTGTGGGGGGAGAAAGGTTTCCTGTACAGTGCTTCCTGGGTCTTATTTTAATGTTTTATAATTTCAGCTGTTGGGAAATCTGACAGAATTTTAACAGCCTGCTTTCATCACTAACATGAACAAAGTACAGAAATTTAAATGCAGTTCTCAACACATAATTGACACTAAATTAGAGGCAAAGTGAATGGTTTTTATACATTAGGAAGAAGTGTTAGGTAAGCACAAACCCTCTCTTCCTGTTTCTTCATCTCCTCTGCATGTCTCTCACAGGTCTCCTTCAGACTGTCAGTTAGTCGGCGTGTCTCTGCTTCAACTGCTCCCAGTCTGCGCTCTGCCTCTGCTTTCTCCAGGGCAGCGCAGTCTGTGCGCTCAGTAAACTGTGCCCTCAGGAAGGCATTCTCTCTCTGAGCCTCCTGTGAAGCCACCATGTGATAGGAATGTTTCAGTTAAAGCTCTTAGGGGTAAATACTTTGTAAGGGTGATGACAGTATAACACAGTGTTCTCAGTGTTGTTTTCGGGAGCCAGAGCATCTTTTCACCAACCTGTAGCCGCAGCATGCACATATCCCCATAAGAAGCCCCGCGGCCCAAGAGGGCTCCATGGACCTGCAGCTCACTTTCCCTCAGACGCTGCTCTAATTGGGCCATATGCTGCTTTTGTCTGTATCACAACATGGTCCAACCATCATCAACACAAGAACAACAATAGTCAATAACACTGAAAAAACAATCAATGTTAAGAATAACTTGAGGACTAATAAGAACTTAATTATTATAACAGAATTACTCCCTAAAATGTCTCAAATTGAGCAGTCAAATTATTTGAAACACTTGCCTCTCGATGATAAGCTCCTTCTCCTTTAACAGACTCTCACTGGCTTTCACCAGAGCATCCCACTTGCCAGAGTCTGAGTGAACAGGGTTTGAGTACAGAGATGGGTACTGACCCACTCCAGCACTCATTAACTGTAACAAAAAAGATGAAAATGCATGTGTCACTTAGAGCTGCATCTTGTGGAAATATGCCAAGGTGATGAGAGACATAACAATTAAGAAGTGTACAATTTTAACCTTGAAAATAACTATGCATGGCGGATATCCTTTCATGTTATCCTCGTACCGCATAGATAGTGCAAAGTGTTGCCAGAAACACAACTCAATATTTGGACCAAACAAAATGCAAACAGCTCAGGGACTGCTGCTTACCTCGGGTTAGCCTGACACCTGGTCAAACTGTTTTTATAGCAAAGCTACCTGACAACAGTAATAAATACTTTTTGTGTGAATAACAACCTTATTAATTTTAAATGGTTATAAAAAAGGAAATAAAACTTGAGTATCAAGCAGTGCCAATCTCTCTGTAGAATATAATGTAATTCCACCTTATTGACTTTAAAGTCTTTCTTCCAACACAGTGAAGGCGCAACCAACTGTCAGTGTATTCTGGTGCTGTGAAGAATACATCCAGCAAGATGAATGAATGAATGCTGCAATCAAATCATAGCTTCAGGAGCATTCATATAGTTAAGACATTTCATGATTAGCATCATAACTTTTTTCAAACAGTAAAATCCCTCATTAGTCCAATCAGATTTAGCTTTGGAATATTCTGCCCAGTCGCAATATCTCAAATGCATAAAAAGGTATTTAGAAACTGTTAAAGTGAAAAAGTGTTAGCTAATGTGTCAGCAAACAGTACGCGGAAGTGGCGACAGTCACTCACTCAACATCTGCCACAGAGGAAATGAACATTGAAAACAGTACTGAAATGGCAAAGAGTTGTTGTGTAATGGTATTTTACCATATTTTACCAGCTTTTAAAAGACTGCAAAAGTGAAGCAGCAAATACTTTTCTAACATTAAGCAAGCACAGGATTTTCTGAATTACACATGTAATAAAATATCATAATTAAACAATTTTTATAAAGCTCAACAACAGAGACCAGCAAATGTTTTATAGTTCTTGTGATTTTAATTTGGTTGATTGATTTGCCAGTCCTGCTTTAAAATAGGACAAGGCGTCTGCATGCCTTCAGGCTTTGTTAGCGGAACGTTATTTTTCCTATGTTGACCTATATATATGTCACGCTCTGGATTTCTGGCAAGATTTCAATGTCCACCAATACCCGACTGCCCCACATGTCGACTCCAATGGGCTTTACTTTATCAAGGTTTTGCCCTCTGAGAATTCACCTCACCATAAGACCAGTTTGTTTTGCCACCCAGTAGAGGTTATCATGTGACATAAATGTCTTGCTTCTACACTATAATCCCAAAACATCAGTCACAGCGTATGAAACAAATAAAAGTAACCATCTCCCAGGTTTATGTTTCTTAAGCATTTTTCTCTGATGAATGCTTACCTGCATTTGTTCCACTTGCAAGCGTAAACTCTCCAGTTGCTGCTTGTGTTGCTGTTGTTGCTGCCAGCTGGATAGTTCACTACATCTGTCCTGCCGCAGTGGCTCATAACCCATGGAGCCTGTATGCTCCCTCAGCAGAGCCTGTGTCTGCAGGCTGAGAGGGCTTGCATAAACTCCAGTGGATCCAGCTGCACCAGGCTGACTGCCCCTCTGATTAGAGGTTTCTGCTGTGCCGGGAACCCCAGGCCTAGCTTCAGGCAGAACCTTATAGCTGTGCTCCATGCCTGCTCTGTAGGCGTCAGACACACAGTCTGGGTTGTCTCTAATCCCGCTCGCCTGTAATCGGAGTCTGACATCAGGGCATAACCCCCCCAACAGGGCTGACTGATTTAGAGTAGGTTCCACAGCAGGAGTGTCAAACCTCTGGCCCTCATCTAACCGTGTGTGATCTGAGGGGAAAAGCGAATGGTCCAGCCCATTTACAAGGCTGCGGTAGCGGCTCAGGCAGTCTGGCTTTGGCCCCACAGGATCAACTCCCACACCGGCCTGAGCATCCAAGTTGGGTGAAGATGCTGATTTGGAAAGAGAGGAAGACTTCGAGGTGGAGCCACTTGGAGTTCTGGAGCCAGAGGAAGACCTGTGACCCTCAAGTGAGGACAGGCCATCCTCCTGGACACATGACTGGGGCTTAGAGGCCGGGGATCCGGCCGTGGATGGCATGACATGTGCAGTGGGAATGGGGATCTGACTGCGGATTGGTTGGAAAGAGGGGCTGCTGCTGGAACTGCAGAAATCTTTCAAGAGTAAAACAAAAAAAGTCATTAGAAATTACAATCAGCGGTACGCTCCCACTATTCACTATACAGATGCACCTTGTTAAAATCAGTGCAGAATATTTGGAGCACTACTGCAGGCAATTTTCTCTATTTTCAGTCAGTGATGTAAAGTAGATGCAGCAGGGTTTATGGGTGGCCTACTTTGATGATGAGGTGTCACCACAGAAAGAATTAACTGGCTCTGACTGACTCAACCCAGGGAAAAGGCTTATAATAGACTCAAACCAATGAGCAGGGTGAAAGCTCTGTGTTACATGATTAACAAAAAAATATAGCATTAATAAGGCTGATATTACCTGCCACGTCACCAAGTGTACATGTAAGACAATTATAATTCACTGTTACATTCTGTTACAACAGCGCTGCTGAACAAAGGGTCTTCCTTTTTAATCAACATAAACTCTTGTAATTATCCTCTTAACAACATTCAGAGATAAGCACCCACAGATTACTCTACAGAGTACACACCCAATCCACACCATTAAATATGCCCAAAAATGTAAATTTCAGGAACATGGCAAGCTTATTACAACCAACCTACAGAAGTCTCCACAAGCCTCAACACAATCTGAAGTTGCATAAGTCTGATTTCAACATTGTTACAAACCTGAGAGACCTGCTGAAGTCTGGAAACACGGTACTCACTTGAATGCAACAAACATGTTATTAGCTGTGACATTTTTTCTAAAGCTGAACTGAGGTAAGCTGAGCTGCAGAACGCTTTAAATCCAAACAACAGTCCGTCTTCTGCATTTCTGAATATAACCAAACCACCTTCTGAAGCTAAGACCAACAGCCGCGCAGCAGTCAGGCCCTGTGCCCAAAGCCGTATTGTCCTCGAACAGCCAAACCAGCCTGTACCAACCTCTAAGCAAACACATACAAACACGCGTACACAGGAAAGGTTAGGGGTATTTATAGCCCACCTCTCATGTTACGGAGTGATCTGTGGGTGCCGCTTATTTAAGCACCTTGCCTCCTCCCACTGTAACACACAACACACACGTGTACACCCAAAGTCAAAGACTGAATGAGATATGTTTTCCCTGCTCAGTTAAATCCACACCTTCCTTAAACAAGAAACTCTTCGCAATCACAGAGAAATAACATTCAGTAAAAGGGCAAGAATATTACAGAAAGATCATCAATCTTTCAGGAAGGTAAAACTTCAAATATAGTAGAAGCCTCCAGGCTCCACTATTTCATGACTGGCTAGAACAAGTCTAAACTACTCTGTAAGAACTTTTGCTAGATGTTTGCTCAACAGACATTCCTGTGTTTGCAAAGTATATAACATGATGACAATTACCTGCAGCTTTAAAACTGAATTTTTTGATTAACACCAAGCAACTAAAATGTAAAGCTGTTTAATTTGTATTTTAAGTGTGCTACACAGTATTATCTATAACAGGTCATTACTGTGGCTAATTGTGGGGTTAATTGTCATGTTGCTAGGCACTGCTGTCAGTTTAAGTGTCTGGACAAAGTTGTACCAGCAACAGCAGCATGTTCAATTACTGCCAGATGAAAGTTACATTCATTCCTACATGAAGACAGCAGCTATAACTGTAATGTATCCAGGGACCACAACATACACATGCATGGAGTCAGACGAAAACATGCAAATTACCAATTAATCTGAGGTATCATATAACAGCTTGGCTGCCGTTTGTTTTAATGCAGCTTCAATCCTTCCAGGAATGTTGTCTTACAAGAACTGAGCTGCATAATCGCTGTGTTTGGGGCTGGTAGGATCACACTGGACACCTCAAGAAGAAGTGATTCCAGTTTGTTGAAAGATATACAAGACATGCATCTGCTAACACTAATAATTGTTCACCATAGCTTCCCTTGAGGGTTTAGTGATGTTTAGATCTGGTGACTGGACATGTGATGGGAATTGAGATTGTTTGATTCACTGTGGTGATAAGGAAAACATAAAAACACACATCAGATTATGTAGGGGTTTGCAGTGGGACAGCATCATCCGGCTAACATTTGCACAAAGTCCTATAAAATGGCACCTATACCTTTACTAACACACCACTGTTCAGATGGATTATAGAAACTAATGACGTGTAGGAGATTACCAGTACAAATTCACTACAAATAGCAAAAGAAACTATGTGTTAAAGGCATCCTTAGAACTGTGTGATGCAAGACAGCTTTTCCCTAAAGCCAACACAAGTAAATGTAACTTGGTTTGAGGGGCAAAAAACAGTGACCTGTTGGCAGTTGCTATGAAAAGTTTCCAACTGGCAGCCAGGGCATAAATATCAGCTTTGTGAAGCTCAAACTCTACAGTGTTGGTTCACTTCTAACCATTTTTCAGTCTATTATTTTGCAGTATTTCCTGTTAGTACAAGGGACCACCCAAACCAGCTGGTCAACCATTACATGGATTCATTCTGATAAGAGCATCTGTTATTTTTTCCACTCACATGTATATTCATATAAATATAGTACATACGCACACCATCTCCACTAGGATTTCACATTTTCTCCAATGGGATATTCCCATTGGGTGTGGGTCCAGTTTTCATTTAGCTGTCCAGTCCTAGTATCACAACACCCCGTCCTCCCAATTAGCCATAACACCAGAGGAGTGCAACAGAGCCTTGGGGCATTTTTGGCTAAGACTCTAATCTACCTCTGCAAATCTCCCAAGCAGACAGAGTGGATCATGAACATTTTTTTACTCTATAAATAGCCTAAGAAACAACAAGACGGTCTTTCCAGCCTCAGCACAAACAAGGGTCTGGGGCTGAGTCTGAGGTTCGTGAGTGGCTGCTCACTACATTATACTTTGTATAACTGATCTTGACCGTCAAGTCAGCAAAAGTATTGAAGTCTAATGACAAACAACCATGTTGTAACAGATATCCTGTCAAGTGCATGAATGCAGCAAACTATTACAAAAACTCAACCACCATTAAAGCACCCAACACTGGCTGTGTAGAGTGCAAACTGGGACTCACCACTGACACAGACCTCAAAACAGTGTTACACAACACAGGCAGGGGGAGAACAAGCAAAAGTCATCACCTTCTGTGCTGTCAGATGCTGAGGTGCCAAGACCAGTGTCCCCACTGTCCGATGTTCCAGGACGGCGGCCAAAACGGCTTTGGAACTTCTCTGACACAGCTGGTGTTTGCCACTCCATGTCAGCAAACCGAGCTAATGTATATTTGTGAAACAGGACGATAGCAACGGAAGAGTATATCAACACACGCTGAACTCACACACAGTTTATACATTTTCACAGCAGAGTGCCAACTTACCCGCTGGTTTGGATTCAATATATCTCTGTGAGGTTGTCATTCCATACGAGACAATGTCACCTGTAAGAGATGGGGGGTGGGGGGTGGGGGGGTTACATACAATTACAATGAAATAGTGAAGACACACTAATAAGATATTTTTAATGTTTTTTTTTTAAATTTGAATCACATCTTAATTTAGGTTAGTGAAGCTCACCTCTCAGTTACTTCAACAGATAAGTGACTATCTGACAACCTATTCGTTTAGTTGGCTGGGAAAACAATAAAGGAGGCTGGTAGGTTTTTATGATGAACCAGAGACTGAGATGTCCTCTAAACAAAAGCTCCTCTCTTGCTTACTGTATATTATGAACTGAACGTCCATGGCTTAGGAGTCAACAGCTGTTAGCTAATGACTGATTTGTTCGCCTATCAAACTCATCTGCCCCTCGACCTGCCAGAAACAAACTCGACGGACTTTTCTGAGCACCAACAAAAATAACAACATGAGCACATGTCTTAACGTTACATAATCTGTTACACAAACATTTATATCCCTAAGAGGCTACAGGAAGTTGTATATCATTTGGCAAGCGAATATAGCGATTACAAATGGATACATACAGTCTGAGATGCAGCCTGGTTGTTACAAACTAATCCCGTTGAGCAGCTAATTCATGAAGGAAATGACTCGCTAACCAGCCAAGGAGAGCTAAGTCAGCTAAACGTGACCTATCTCCAAATTGAATTTGTTAAATTTTTCGATATCAGCTAAATGCGACAATCGTACTAATCCAAGTGTAGGTTGTGTCAAAGCAGTGACTTCTTTATGATTTCCTGCCCCAAAACGTTCACATTTGTTTGACTGCGATGCACTGCACCGTTAATCACTTAGCTAATCCATGACAAATCCGTTTCCGTCTAACAAGCTAGCTAACAGCTAGCTAACACAACGTTGCCGTTTGCTTAGCTACCTAAGTGAACATGTACGTAACAAATCTCTGAAAGCTTTCGTGTTTACGTTATCGTAGCTTACATAGCTGTCGGCGCTGACACAAAATGTTACTTTACCTTTTGTTTCACATAAACACAGAATGAAGTAACAAATCTCGGTTTCAGGCTGGTAACCGAAGCCGAATCTGTACCATCCGCTGCTGTTGCTGCTGCTGCTGCTGCTGCTGCTGTTGTTCCGCTAGCCAACTGATCCCCTCTGCTGGCAGACAACCCAGTCCAAGATACAATGGCCGCTTGTTTAATATCACAGCGCCGCCCGTTCAACAATGACGGGTTATGTTGTCTCAGAAACCGTTTGAGGTTTTCCTGCCTAGAGGGTATTGACATCCGCAGCGGTTACATCTACAGACTACAGCCGAAAAACTGGGCTAGCAGTGTTTTTTAAGGCTTTTCTTGAAATATTGCTGCCGATGCAATGAAAAGATGACCAGGTTCATTCTGCCATATGACCAAATATCACTTGAGTAACACAAAACGAACAAACCTAACCAAGATGCGTTGAGATGGCTGGAATAACCTAGAAAATAAGGCTTCAGAAGTATTACAACCTATTAGCAGTCTTAACATATATTTAATTAGGCCACAAAACAGTAAATAGCATTGAGATAAATACTATATGGTTAAACATATTGTGTCATTTTTATAGTTAGGCGGCATATTACAAAGGATTAGACAGCAGTAGACTAAATCAGGAAATACACAATCTATATTTGTCTTCTTTATTTATTTTTCATTAGCTATCCTACATGTTTAAAAATCTATTGATTCCATTGGCTTAATTTAAACACTTCTGCTTTTCATTTTGAGTGAAGCTACTGGTCCAAACCAAACAGAGCAGCTGTGATTGACAAAGAAGAGAAAATACCACAAATACTGACATCAATTTGTTGTAGGAAGTTGGGACAATGATGATACCATTTGTAATACCTAACGCAACCATAAAGTGACACATAAGTCAGGATTTTTTGCAATAGATGAAATACAAATTGCAACATCTGTTTTATTTTGTCTTTAATGCACAACAATTAATTGATTAATTTAATCTACCTGCAATAAGGTGCTGTCTGAAATATTGTAAAGACAACTTTAATGAAGCATACAAGGCCTTGTGTTTTATGTGACAATCGCATGAGAACACCTTTTTTCTGTCCTCACTAACATTAGTTTCTGTATTGCTGAATTTCCAAGTAATACATCATCACTAATTCAGGGCATATTAAGCATTAAAATATCACTGTAGTCCATGATGTTTGGGCCTTGGCATGTGATAAAAACAACACACACAGAAATCTGAGATAGGCTGGATCCTGATTAAGGAGTCATATTTGAGATTTCTTTTTGTTCAGTATTCACATTGTGACATGCAAGGTTATGAGATTGCCTATTATAAGAATTTCCTACTAAAATGTAAAAATATCATGCATTAATCCAGTCTGTTTATGTATTAAATCTATTTGTATACTAAATAAGAAAAAAACACTACAAAAGAAATACTATATAAAAGAATCTATTCACACGTTCACACAAAAGTATATCCACACATGTGAGTAGTTTTCAGAAATATACTTAAAAAACAGTTAATTCTCCGGGGAAAAAAATTACTTGTTCCATTTATATTTGCATATGGCTTTTGTTGATACATGTTCACAGGGTCTTATGCTAACACAAAACTAATAATTCACAACTTGTCAAAGCAAATGAACATGCTCTTCATTCCCCAGTTTTGCCTTTAACAATCTTTGTTTTTTGAAGTGGCAATACCATCTTATTCTACTTTGTCAAGCAAAGAGACTGTTAGATTAATTTGATCACCTTTGATAACAGTAAAGATGTTATTTAGTGTTTTCTTTTTAAATCTCCATTGTTGTTAATAAATGCACATGACAGCATCATTAAACGACCTCTACCGATTCCTATCATCTGCCAAAAAATTCTCCACCAGTGCAACAACTACACTCAGATATAATCTGCTCTTGTGTTATAATTTGACTGAGCCAATTCAAGTCATTTACATCCTAAATTTGCCACTGATATGATCAGCTCAGACCTTTGAGCTATATCCCTTGTTTGTCTGGCTGCTTGCTGTATAGGCATTTCTGCATTCTCTTTCTCCGTGACCAGTACAGAAAGCTGACTCTCACTTTATTCCTCAGGTAACAATAAAACAAATTGTTCCTACTTTTTTTGTTCCTACTTTTACTGTCACGCTATGTACACGTCAATAAAGGAAAAATCTGTTAACTAGCATATTTCTATTAAAATGAGCTGGAGAAAAATTGTCATTTTTTACATTATAAGACACTGTATAGACTGCGCAGCTACTCTGCAGCCTTTTTGCTTTTTTGTGCCATAGTATGAAATGTTTGTAAATACCAGCTGTAATTTGTGCGGAGAATGCTTTTATTCTGAAATGAACTCGGACCGGAAGTGTTTGTTCTGCTTTAGCAGGCGGAACAAAGTTGCGTGATGTTCTCAGTGGGAGGAGGGTTGTGTTCAAGTAAGAGAAGGTATTAGCGAGAATCCTGTCAACAAACTCACATAGAGTATGATTTATTACGTTTATTAAATGGACATTTCTTGACAGAAGTCTTTTTAGTTCAAGGAAAGCGGTGAGATTTCTTACGCAGTCGTAAATTAAAATGAAAGCGTTGCAAATGTTGACGTTACATGATGTGTACGTTTTGTTTAGCTAGCATGGTAACGCAGATACGCTAACGCCAGCTACTCGGTAAACGACAGGTCTCTTAAAGGCCCGATGCACAGGTGGCTAACGATTCTGACAGGCTAACAGCGCTTTAACGTTGAGATAACTGTCAATGTTCTGCGACACTGTCCGCCGATTGTAATACTGACAGAGCTACATAGCAAACATTAGCTAGTTAGCTTCTGAACTCGCCTTGTTGGTGTTCACTTACGGGAGCAGACCCAGTGTTTGGCACTGGAGTGAGCAAAGTCTGAAGACCAGCTAACATTATATGTTTCAGCTATTTTTAAAAAGCCCATAATGAGTGGATAATTTAAATGTCTGCTGTTCAGCTTGCCTTTACCTTTCCTCTTTAACTGACATTAAACCAACATAGAATCAGTGCCGTGTGATAAATGTGTTCTCTACCCTGTCTTAATGTTTTTAAGGTCTGTACAGCTTAATCCCAAGAAATACAGAGTAAATGTCATCTGAGCTGTGACCCCTGGAACCTCCTGCCCAGACCCTAATCTATGTTTTGTGGTGAGGCCATGACTGCTGTCAACATCACCAGAGATATCCTGCACAGGCAGATCAGGGTGAGTAAACAAATGCCATAGCATATTATGAGCTGAACATGCATGGAATTGAGATTGGTGGGGCCAACCCAAATAGACTCTCACCAACGAATGTTAACAAGTATAATTTTGTTTGTACAAAAGTCTGACAGAGCCTTTGATTCATGTAATTTTTTTGGTTATTCAAACATGTGCCTGTAAAAAATCTGTTTCTCATTATTTATGTCAATTAAAATTTATTCTAATGAACCTCATGACACTGCAGGACAAGAAAGCGTCAGGCTTCCAAAGGTTCTATCATGTGACCGACCCCTTCATCAAGAGACTTGGTCTGGAGGCTGAGCTTCAGGTAAGTGACACAGTGACAACAAGTGTGTGTGTGTGTGTGTGTGTGTGTGTGTGATGGAAAGAGAGATGTGGAAAAAAAAGGAGACTGATAGGATACTTCTGTATATTGTTATGTCTTCTTCTGATTGTTTATACTGTCTGTGTCAACAGGGCCATACTGGCTGTGTGAACTGTTTGGAGTGGAATGAACGAGGAGAGTAAGTCTTCAAATCCTAAAAATTTACCTTCTGTATAATTTATAATCTCTGACCTGGGATCACTTGCACGTATATGGAAGGCCTTTTATGGCTGGGCTACTTGTCATAATTAAATGAGTATCTTTTCTGTTAATGTTTCAGCTCTGAATGTTGCTGCGGCACTCCTAATCCTACCAAAATAATACAGCAGGCCTGCCATGTTTCACTACATTGTAATGGGATCCATATCTTTCCAGAATCTTAAAATGTCTCACAGTTTAATATTTTAAATGGCATTGGTCGTGAAGAGCCTCTACAAACGTTGCCTCATGACCTGATGATTCTTTTTGTATTCAGCCTACTGGCCTCAGGTTCAGATGATCAACATGCCATCATCTGGGATCCATTCAGACACAAGAAGCTTACAACTATGCACACAGGTCATGCAGCAAATATATTCTCTGTAAAGGTAAGGAGGAATAATTGGAAGGTGAGTGTATTGAATTGCAGGTGGGAAAGAGAGCTGAAATCATTTACAGTGGCTGCATTTACTTACACATCAATCATCCACTCATAGTGTGATTTAAGGCAGTGATGTGAGTAAGGTGGAGCCAATCTTGCTGACTATGCATCCCGACGGACAAATATTAGTGAATTACTCCCATTTTAGTCTAATTGAAAGTGCATTTTATCTATGTAAACACCTGAATTGAATTACAAGTTCACTCCCTGTACATTAGGTGGCACTGTTGGCTATTTAATGAGTGGCACGTTGTTTGATGGAAAACCCATCTACGTACCTTTTATATAGTTTTAAAGCTGCCCAAGTTGCGATGGTTGTATTGCACTTTTCACACAAAAATCGCCACTAGGGCAGACCACTGTAGCTTCATGACAGAAAACTTTGGAATGAGGTCAAATACCAGAGGAAAATGTTACATTGTAACATAATATGGAGATGATGTCAAAAGCCATTTAATGGGCTATAATCTATAGGATTGAAACAGGTATATTGCCTGTAAACACATTATTAATGCCTTCCTCTTTGGTCTGTTTGTCTGTCCATACAGTTCCTCCCTCACTCCGGGGACAGAATTTTGGTAACAGGTGCAGCCGACACCAAGGTCCATGTGCACGACCTGACCGTGAAGGAAACCATCCATATGTTTTCTGATCATACCAACAGAGTCAAACGTATTGCCACAGCACCCATGTGGCCCAACACCTTCTGGAGTGCTGCGGAGGATGGTATCATCAGGTTAGAAGTCAGGGATTAAAATGGATTAAATCACCTCGTTGTGTTTAACAAAGTCAAAAGATATACCATGTCTAATTTTACTATAGGTAATATGTTCACTTTCTCCCTGTTCGCTACA